AGTAATATATCTGTTTTCTAATATTAAGCTCATCCCATTAATTCATACTAATATTATAAATGTGAAAGATTGTGAAGATGGATAGATGAGTGTTTGTTACTCTGTGATGCCAGAACGGCTGAACGAATCTAGATGAAATTTGGCACAGAGATAGATTATAGTCTAGCACATAAACTAATTTTTATTCCGGAAAAATATACGGTTCCCGTGGGATAGAATTTTTATTGTTTTTTACTTGGGACGAACTTCAGCAAAATCGAGGGTCAGTTGCTAGTATTAAATAAAACAAATGACATGAAGGTCCTCCTAACCGATGTTGGTTGCAGCGTTTATTATCGAAAAATCTCTATTCCTTTTACTTTAATATTCTGGTGAGATCAAAACTTGACACGATCGGTAAGAGATCAGTCATAGAAATAATAGTTTAACGTGCTCGCTGACGCACAAATATATAAACACCGCCGATTTTCCAACTCTGAGCTACTTCTGAACTATTTCCATATCGATAAAACCCCTTTCGTAATATGCGTATTACCATAACCTCAATCCGGCCCTGCCACAGGATGTTGGAGAGAAGACTGGTGGATAGAGAAAAAATAATTTTATGGGATAATGATTTTATTTGATTTGATTTTTAAGCTTTTATAGGATATAAGCAGATACGAAGTCAGGGCGACTTGCTTGTGTAATGAATAAAATCATAGTTTAACGAAATATAGCTCTCATTAGCGCCACCCAAAAAGACGGAAAGTGTCAATTTGCAACGAATACTCTTTAAAGAACCTAGCCCGAGGCAGTTGGCTGGTAAATAAAGAGTTTACTCTAGCTAAATTTATTTTCGTATAACTATTTTTAACCACACAACTACGTAAAAAGACTTTTAATTAACTTAATTTTTAATAACCAGGTAAATATTTTCAGGCATAGGAAAATTGGCTAAAGATTTACCTATAAATATTCATAGCATAGATTGCATAGATAATACATCTTATTTATTATATCTTCGCCAAAATTTGATTGATTGATGATTTTCATATTTTTTGTTTAATTAATATTTAATGAATATCGATTATCCTTAAGTCCTTATATCCACAGCGTGCTTCAAGCCGTTACTGCTTATACCAATTGCCAGAACTAACTTAAATCATTTTACGGCCATATCACGATTGATGAAAGTTAAACACATTATTTACAGGGAGTTGGAAGGTTTTGCTGATATAATAATCTATCATTATTTTAAAAGTTAATTTAGAAATATTAGGAAGTAAAGAATGTTAGTGCTCTTTGTTTGAGTTTATTCCTGTTTAATTTTCATTGTTATTATTATGTAATTTAAATTACTTTATAGTCGTATTTTAAATAAAACTATCTTTTCAGATTTTTTCGCGAATTTATTTTAATTTTTGGTTCCCGACGTTTCGAATGCTTTACAGCAATCATGGTCACGGGAGAGACTGAGGTGTTAGATGTCTCTAAGGTATTATATAGTTGTTACAGACAGCCTACCCACGATTAACAAAATAAATTCAAAAAATTGAAAAATGGCACCTTACAATATTTTAACTTTAAACATTTTTATATAATTTTAATTAGTTTTATAATTGAATATGGAATATTATTCATTTAATTTGAGCTGTTATTACTATAATTATTAATTTTTTTAAAATATTAATTAGTAATCTACATTTTTAATCTTGCCATTATTATATTTATAACTATAAAGAAAAATCATAATATAATAATTATTTAAGCCACATAATTTATCTATGTGTAATTTGAAAAAGTTAAGATTAATTAAAAATAATATTTTATTTAATTTAAATTGCTATTATTTAAAAAAAACAGATTATTAAGCAACACATTACTACATACATTTATAAATGTAAAAGTGAAAAATATTAATCAGAAATGCTATCATTTTGATCTACACAGTAAGAACTTACGGGACTTGGGAACGCATCACGATAAAACCACTATAAAGATTTTGATGAAATTTGGTATGCCAATAGCTGGTTATCCTTATGAATAATTTTGGGTTAACATTAAAAAAAAAACTGCGGAAAAATATCTCATGTCTGAGAAATCTATACTAACCGTTAAAACGTAGGAGCAAACCCGAGCGAAGCGAGAATGAATCGCTAGTAACAAATAAAACACCGAGAAAGCAATCTCATTTTAAATACATTTCATTCACCTTCCAAAATACAGTCAGAATTTATATAATAACTTTACTTTTATATATAAAAATTTTATTTTAGATCTACGGATACATACGAGTATTAAGCGCGCATTTTTATTTTTGATCTACAGATACATATTAAACGCGACGTGTCACATCGCTTCCACAAGTAAATTCAATCTGTTTACGTCTTCATTATAACAATTAGTGTAAAGTGAAATTTACCTGTATGGTATAATTAGATTGAGGTTTATTTAAATTTAAACACGTCTGTTAGTAGTAGTCACATATTAAAAATTATTCTATCATGTTATGTCACGTTAAGTGCATTGGTACCATGAACGAATTAACCACAATTCGTCCATGATTGGTACATATTATGTTGAAAATAAAATAATAATAAAACGAAGCATCTCAAAGCCCCTTTTAGTACAATTATACAGATATTTTTATTAATAACTAAATTTTGCCCGTCCGCTGGGATGATAAGCGGGACGGGCGGGTGTTCAAAGGTAGTCCGATCCCACGATGTATCCTATTGATGCAATCTATCCTTGCCATATTTTATCAAAATCTGTTCAGCGGCTTAAAAAACAAGAAATAAACTTTAAATTGAATCAAACTGATTATTAAACAATACATATATATCATATAAAACCTTGTTTTTGAATTGCTTTACTAAAAAAACTTTTTTTTATATTAATAATAAATAATAATGTTCTCCTGACCGATTCCGGCCACGGCGGCCAATCTCATTGCGACTAGCCAACTGCGCAGGAGATATTATAGTGCACAAGTGTACGCGCAGACACAAGTGCACTCTCTATTCCTGTCACTCTCATACTCTGGTGGGACGACTACTCTACACGACCGGTGAGTTATGGAGCAGTACCGACAGCTTTGCGTGCTCTCCGAGGCACAGGAGTGAAACACCGCTAACTTCCCAACTCCGGGCTGTTACTGAGGCTTACTATACAGAAAGACTTAATAACTAAACATGGCCCGACCCGGGACTCGAACCCAGGACCTCCGGATATGCAGCCGTACATGCTAGCCACTACACCACTGAGGCAGTCATTAGTAAAGCTTATATAAGTTTACTGGAAATCAATTTTTATAAAGATAACGAAACGTGTCTATTAGTCTAATGGGTGTAAAATATGAATAGAGCCATGATAGTACAAAAGATTATTGAAATTAAAAACAAATTATACACCCAAATAATACTATCAGATGATGGGAATTCCATTTGCTTTTCGATTCGGAACTGTAATACGATAATTGATAACATATCATATTTGTTATATAACATTAAAATATTGACTTCAAATATAAGCGAAGTACAGTATGATGATGTTAGTTCTTATTAATAAAGCACTAGAGATCGCGTGTTCGATTCCTGTACAGAAACAATATTTTATAGATACATAATATCTAAACATATTATCTACAGATGCATATAGGTATAAATAATAAAATCGAGTTCCTCATTTTAAAAAGTTAAGGTAGTTAAACAGCATAATTTTTTAACAATAAAGTAACATCGACTTCAAAATCACCGATTTCAACCGATTTTCTTTTTCTTTTTTTTTTGCTAAGCAACTATAGACGAGTTTTAGTGTTATGAACAAAAAAATATGGAAACTGTTAGTTTTTTTATATAGATAGGTAAAGATAAGACAGCTCAGTATTCCCGGGGGAGAAGCCAACTCCTACCGGGCGCGTCCCCAGGTGGCGGATAGGGGAATGCCACCCGCTTAGGGCGGCGGGTGGTACCGGAGAAATCCGGCGCGGACCAAATGGCTTGGGTGGGGCCGCTCGTCTAGGACTCGAGCCGAAGACGTTGCGGCCACCGGTGGTGGGACCGCTTGGTCCCACAACCGGATGATGGGTGCCGGTTGCGGGACTGTGGTCGCAGGCCCGCATCCGGCGGAGGAGTAGGCCGCGGCGGGAGAGGAGTGCCGGTATTTCGGTGCGCCGTTCTCCCTACCTTCCGCGGCCTAGACGGGGCCGCCACCGTTTGATGGCGGACGCGGTGGGGCTGCAGGGGAAGAGGAGTGTCGGTGTTTCGTTGCCGCTCTCCCTGTCCTCTGCAGCCGATTGGAGGTGGCCCACTTCGGTGGGCGGTGGTTAGGTTTAATGGGGCTGCTCCGGGTACCTCTCTGGCGTAGCAGAGTTGACTGTGGAGCAGCCCCATTGGTTTGGTGGTCTGCCTAGCGCTTAGGCAGACCTGCCGCCGGGGCGCCGTAGTAGTTATGCGCAAGCGATCCTGCGGCGTCCCATTAAGGCGGAGGGGAGGGGAATGTCGGGTTTTAGTGGGTAGTACCGGCTCTTCTAGCCGGTGAGCCCCACATCACCACCTGGGAGACCAGGTGGTATGCGTAAATGCATTTCCCGACATAAAAAAAAAAAAAAAAAAAAAAAAAAAAAAAAAAAAAAAAAAAAAAAAAAAAAAAGACAGCTCAGTATTGTTTATTTATATCAATGTTGATGCTGGGCGAACACTAATTAAAAGCAAAATTAATTTACAACAAAAATTTTAGGAATTAAGGACTTCCTGTTTGGTCATATTTATATGCAGTTGTACTGAAGATATGGTAATAATTGAAAATAACGTAATATATACGTAATTACAATAACAACTGCGAGTTATCATGGACTATTTCAAAATTCTCTCAAGAATACTATTGAAATTATAATATTTATTTTGAACATTTTTACAACAACACACAAACAAACAAGTAAAATATAACGTAGGTATATCTAAAAATCCACGTAAACACACATAAATGAAACTTATAAGCTTCTGGCTTGTACTTACTTTATGCTTCCCCAGATTTGTAACAGAGCAGCCAAGTACAGCCTCCCTCCCAAGAAAAAAAGTATGATTGCCGATGGGTTTCTCGAAGGAAGGCTCTTCCGGAAACTTCTTTGTAGTTTGTGAATCTGAAATGAAAATTGTTTTATGGTTACTTTTTTCTGTTTATTTAAAAATAAATATAATATTAACGATTTTAATTAAAAATATAATTTTATTTTACTTTTAACGTAATTAACTGTCTATGTTACAATATGTCGTAAATATTTCAAGCTACGGAATACACGTAGTACGAGTCTGACTTGCAGTAGGTCGTTTTTTATATTAACAAACATAACAGTGTGGAGTATTCTATACGTAAATTCACTTACTTGTAGGTTTACTATAAGTATATTATACTGATATATCCATACTAATATTGTAAATGTAAAAGTGTGTTTGTTTGTTCTTCTTTCACGTCAAATTGGTTAAGCTGTTGGTGAGTTTAGCGCGCACAAACGCACAGACAAACAGACACAAACTTTGAAAAAACGTTTCGGGTTTTATTGCATTAATAAAGATTCCGAATAATAGTTTTTCTCAAATATCTTCCATGTACAGACAGCAATCAGTTACACTTTTATTATATGTATAGATGTTAAATATTCGCACAAATCTAAGAAAGTAATCTTGGCTTAAATTTTTAATTTAGTGTTTTATTGACCGATTTCAAACTGGTGCAGATATTTAATTTTAATCTTTCCCAATTATCTAGATCAATTTTCAACATTATTTTTTTAATTAATAAATTATTTCATTGTCTTGTTATAATAATGTTTTTTAACATCCTAATATTATATGAGAATCATTTCATAAGCTACGGGTACAAGAAATTAAATTAAAAATTAAAAAAAAAACAACACAATAACCTGTTCATTGAAATCATATTAATGAGCCTAAAAGATGTAAATTAAAATACATGTATAAACAAAGGATTAAATACAAAAATTACTCTTTCTAAAAAAATGAAGACAAATTAGAGAAAAAATGTAGGTAAATTGTTCTTCTGTGACATTTGTATTTATATTTTGTATTCAGTCCTTTTTAACGTCGCACTTACTAGGCACAGGCCTCCCTTCAATACAAGGGGGATCGGGATCAGGCCATAATCCACCACACTGGCCAAATGCGGGTTGACGGACTACACACTTCTTTCAAAAACTTGTTAGGTTCTCTCAGACATGTAGGTTTTCTCACGACGTTTTCCTTCACCGTAGTACAAGTGGTAATCTAATAATGTCGGAAATGATTCGTACATGAAAATATCAGAAGTGCGAGTCCCGGGATTTGAACCCGCGTCAGTTTCCCAAGCGAGCATGTTACTACTGGGCTAATACTGCCTATGTATTTATATTTAGAAATAAATAAAAACCATATTTTGTTATTTTAAATTGAATGATTTATTCACGATGCCATATCGATAGATATATTGTGAGCAAAATATTTAGTGAGCCGAACATCTAAGATTTCTATCATAATCCTTTCAACCGAAGTAACCAAAACTGTCTGATATAGAGATTATAAATTTCAACCGTCGAAGAACTTTCAGTCAAAGGAACTATAACATGTTGCGACATTTATACTTACATTTACATAATATCATTAGGGATTTCAAACTTAAGGTAATACAAAACGCTATGAACCTTATTTCTAGGGAATAAAGATGAATATCGACTGTTATATCAAGCCCCTATACTAAGTTTGATCCATACTTTGTTATTAGTACTACTAAGTTGAAAGTCAAAGTGGCTGAACGCGATTTACATTAAATTATGTTGATTATAAAAGTTTTTTCCTACAATATAAATAAAGTTAATTTAATTAATAAAAATTTGTTATAATTTAAAGCTTTTTTGAAAAGCTCTATTCTCTATATTGCTAGAGAACAATAGACATAAAACTTAGCGACAATTTTTCTTCGTTAACCTACCTTAATAGCCTTAATAACCGGTGGTAGCTTTCTCACGGACTTCCATACTGACATTTAAATTAAATATAATAATATAATAATGTAAAATGGGAGATTAAAAAGTTTTATAAAAGTCTATTTAAATAAAGTATATTTAGCATTTGATTTTTATGATTTAAATTAGTATTCAGACGTTTAGATGCTTTTAGGGTTCCGTAACCAAAGAGTCCAAACGGAGCTCTATTGCTGTCACTCACGTTTATGTCTGTCCGTATGTCCGTCGTCTGTCACACAGGTTTTTCAGTCAAACGGTTCAAGTGTAGCTTGAACTTACTTGTCTTAAAATTTTCACAGTACATTAAAGCATATTGTTGACCCAAAGCCATATAAATTGTCTAAAAATATTTTTAAATGTTGTTTTTTAAATGTTCCTTGATGTTATTGTAAGGAAGGCGCGAAAAATATTTTGACCTACCCCATTGAGTGTAGTATTGTTGTTTAGAGCTCATTGAGTAGATAAATACTGTATTTTTTGTTTTAAAAAATATTGGAAAACAAAGGAATGAGAAGCCAAAGTCAACTTATTTTACAAAATTTTGTTTAGAAGAATTTTTTACATCCCATCGACATGTGCACTTGAAATTTAATAATAATGTTTATTATTAAGTATATTTTACTAAGAAAAACAATATATTGATGAAGATGGCGAATTTCAAAAAGGCTGCCATGCAAATTAAAAAAAATCGATTATGATACGGAACCCTTCGTGTGCGAGTCTAACTCGCATTTGACCGATTTTTCCACTTGCTAATATACTACTTATGATTTTAATGAGTAGGGATTGGCGGTATTATATCAGCATTATATCTTGAACAGCATTAAAGTACTAACACTTCACCGATCATGTCAAATTATCGTTGAATTGTGAGAATAAAAAACGAGACCTTCAGGAGGGTGTCAAGTAAGTTAGGCATACTAAATTCATAGTTCTAAAAACTATCAATAAAAACAAATTATTTAGTTACAGAAAACCGAAATTTGTTTTTACTCGGAATTGCATTAGAACCCTAGTCCTGCTCATATTTGTTTAAAACACAAATTAATACAGATATAGCCTTACTGAGAAAATGGAAAAGCCATGTCACTTGAAACTTGCCGTTAGAACTACTTTTGTTATTTTGAAACATTAATCATTTTTACACAAATTACGTGTCAGGATATAATAGAGGGAACGAGCGGAGTAAACTACAATAAGCTTGAAGTTGTGCTCTCGATCGTGACTTATTTAGCTTTCAAAATTAGATATAACAGAGGGTATTTACAATCAATAGAACGAATTTTGAACATTATGAACTTATAATATTTTTGCTTCAGGCAAAAACGTAACAAATATTAGTACAAATACTAATAGATAAATATATGTAAAAAAATAAATGTAAAATAATAGAAAATTTTGAGCTATTTTATGCGTACTTTACTATATCTTGAAAGCATTTTTATCATACATTCAGTATTTATTTCTATTATATTATTTTATATAATACTAGCGACTCACCCTCGCTTCGCTCGGGTGCGTCCCTAGCTTGCTTTCCAATACAAACTTACATCCCCATTTTCACCCCCTTAAAGGATGATTTTCGGCATAAAAAGGGTTCTTTCCAGGGTTACAAACTATCTTCTTACAAAATTTCATCTAATCGTTTTAATAGATCCAGAGATTACTCCCTACAACGTCACGAACTCAGAAAATTTACCTCTTTATAATATTAGTATAGATTATTCATTGCATAAAGCAAAATTTTCCTTCGCAAATTTTACTGATTTATTATATGTTTATGGAAATCCGGAGGTCCCGAGTCTGAGTTCTGGGTAGGGCCAAGTGTAGTTATTGAATTTTTATGTCAAAGAATTCTCATTAACAGCCCATAGGAAAGCTGGCGGTTTTTCTCTACACGATAAAGAGAGATCGGTTCAGCAGCTGATCTTGTACCAGTTGTGTCGATTTATCCTCCCACCGATGTGTGTGGGGTGAAATGAATAGAGACTAAAAATATTTATGGAATATTCAATAATTTGTCGCTTGTAGAATCGAACCAGTAACTTCTGTAGCAATCCACGATGCAGTTTAGAGATCCCATTAGAAATTAAATGTGTCTATTTGTAATCTACGAGTACCATGAGGTCAAAAGACTAGCATCTATATAAATAATAGACAAAGACCAAACAGTTCAGTACCTTTTCCTCCTCTGTTTGTGAACCGAATTTCTTTTTTTATTTCGTAGCTATTAAAAAGTTTTAGTGTTATTAATTTAAAAAAAAACGTGTGTGTGTACTTATGTACGCACGTAAGAAGTTATACTTCTTTGGCGTAACAGAACAAAAATAGTTAAAGATTTCAATCCCGTATGTCACAACTCTCTGTTTATTCGTCATGTCGCTTTTTGGCTGTCGTGTACGCGCACATCGTAAAAATTTTACTTTCATAATTTTGCAAACGTGCCAAAAAAGTATAATTTCAAAAATGTTTATGGTTATGGTTGAATTTCAACCACTGGACGAAATATTTCAAGCATATTTAAGTAAAACGTGAAGATTTTTGTATATTTTTAACATCTTCCTCGCATCTTTCAGAAAACGTAAATATTATGAACTTTTTGTACTATCGTTTGTAAGGGATAGTGTAACAAAACTATTTTACGACGTATATGGCTTCACTGGGAATATTACAGTGAGAAAGATCCTTGATCGACAATTACATTCTCATAACAAAGATTAAACACCTATTTTTGGAGGACCATTCTTATTTTTTATTATAGACTACATCAACTTTGTGGCTTTGCAATTGTTATATTCTAAAATACAACGCCTGTCCAATATGCCACTTTATTTTTTTTATTTCTTACAGCAGTATCAAATTTAATAAGAATAATCATAATATTTAAATATATTATACAATTATAAAGTTGCTTAGAATATTTCTAGCCGTTTTGTTTTATATAGTTAAAAAATAATTAATTTTAAAAAACAAAAAAAAAACGCTTTTCACGAATATTTATTTATTGCCAGCCGACAATATTTTAATAGGTAAATATGATTAGGTATGAACTCTAAATATAGTTAAAATATGTATTATACATCAATTTGTGATGTATTTTACGTATCGAAATATATTAGATTTGC